CATGAACACCAGCGAAGCGAATCAGTGCCATTTAGGGGAAAATTGTTGGCCGGAAAACAACGGCTAGAACAACGCCTCCTCGCAAGAAGGCGCAACACCGAAGAGCAAAACACCTCCACCACCCACCAAACCGCAAACCAAACCACGACCTTGAAAGGGAAGAACGGATTTCTCTCTGTCACATTCACGCCAGGAAGGCAAACCAACAATCTGTGGGGACTAAAGCATGCATCTCAGCAACAAATTGGTAATCAGAATATTTGCAAGCAAAGCTTTTCGATCATTGCCTTGCCACGTAGAATGAGATCGCGGTTGAGGCATTACTGAAATTGTTTGGTATTCTTTCAAGCACTTACTTGCTAATCGCATGCAATCATGTCAAAGCCGATCATTCTTACTGGAATAGGGAATGCGAGCATGGTTAGAGAATCGTCTTATTTTGAACATGCTTTCGAAGAAGCATCTCAATCAGCACGGCCTTGCCCTGATATGCTTAATGGTGTCGTTTCAGTTGCATAACGGGGCTGTGGAAAAACAGGGTCGTATTATCCACCTTACCTCACCCGCCTTCAGTGGGATGAAATCTTTCAATGGGATGTGTCAGTTGTTAATCTTTCTCAAGGTTGCAACCGCCATTTCGGAGTTGACGTCATTACGAGCTGCCCGTTAGTAGGCTTGCTTTCTCTTGCCGTCCACGATTGTCTAAAATCGTAAGTGTTACCATCAACACAACTTCACTTCCAATGTTTCGAGCATAGTTTGCAGAGCACAAGCTGTCGGTGGCTTCTGTCGCCATTGCATGCTATTTAAGATTGCAGTATTTCTAGGCGTGCATCGTAGTGCATGTGAATACTGGTTAATAGATGTGTTTTCGTCATTAATGGTATGCACTTGCTTCTCACTAGGCATGTGTATGCAGATTTTCGCAGTGCAGTTGGGACAACAAGGATGAAGCATGCTTCACGGATATCCAAAAAGGCGGGTTTATTAGAAGGTCGACCATATCAAGTGGAAATAGCCAACATAGCGCGCAGTGAAAGCATCATCGTGAAACTGGGTACTGGTCTTGGGAAATCATTTATCGCTGCTATGGTCATTAAAGACCACCTCCCCGAAACGTATCGGCCGGTCGCAGAAGGTGGAAAACGCATTGTACTCGTCGCGAAAACTGGTGAGTCTGCAATGGCCTCTCTTTGTGTCTGTGCAATTAGATTTGGTCAATTGAACTTTGGCGTCGCCTTGACATTGTCCTAGTTCATCTTGTGTATCAATTGGCCGAGTTTTTGCGGTCCCAACTCCCTGTCGCCCCCGAGGAAATCGGGATATACCACGGCCAGGTGGCGCCCAGTATCTGGATCGACAGCTGGACAAAAGTGAGATACCAATCTCTTCCTCTCTCTCTCTCTCTCTTTCTTTCGTTCTCCCTGTCTCTCTTTGCAATTGTTTTTCGTGTGTCGATGCTAATTGGTATGATGTGGATGGCAGGGTATTTGGCAAGGACAGCTGGAAAGGCATAGGGTATTGGTGACTACTGCCGGTGTCCTCCGCGACGTCTTAAATC